ACCACCATCATGGATTGTACAACATTGTAGTTGTGGACAGAAAGCCACCTACCTACCCCTTTAATGAACTTGGACTTTTTAGTTGCCATACAACTAGTACTTCTACTAGTATTTAGCAACTCCTAGCATTCTTTCCCTTTGTTAAATGCAATTAAAGACACTTTAATCGCATGCGGCAACAAATCTTCGACTGCCTAATCATTAGGGTTTCATCTAAACAGTTTATACATTCCATAGCCCGTATGCTGTTAAAAAGGGGAGGAAAGTCAGGGTTTTTTTTTTTTGGTTGTAGCAACAAATTTGAGTGATTTCCACCGAAAAAGTAATGAACTTTGTTAGTGAATTTAGCCACACAGCCAGTCAATCCAAATGATAGAAAGTAGTAATCGCAGTATTATAACTAGCTGGTAATTGAGAACTTACCCAAAATTGAGACTTGGCTTGAGAGAGACTTGAAAAGCTTCCATTTCTTCTTATTCTCCCAATCTTAACCCTGGGAATATTGCCATCATCACTTCCAGTGTCCGCACCATCTACTGAGACTGAAGATGGATGGACGAAGCTACAACTTCCCCCAGCTTCCCTCTTTCCAGACCTAAATTTAGGTGTCTTTTGTCTCCAGGAACCGAAGAGTCCTCTTCCCTTGTGCAGTTTCTTGCCAAGTACCATACTACTGAGTTGACCTCTCTCGGGACTCTTACTGCTACTACTGTCAAATGACCCTTGTCGCTCCCTGAAGAATCTGAATGAGGATGAGGTGAACTTAGGCCTGCCCAACACATAAGGGCCCTCCAGCACTGTGGTGGGGGAGGGTGTTTTTGTAATCTTGCTGGGCTCCAAGAATAGCCTAGGGGGCAGGTCTAAGCACCTGGGGGACTCTGTGGTGGTGCTGGTGGGAAGAGCGATGAGAGCGGTGCAGGGTCTAGGTTTTCCGGGCTCTTCCTCCCACCTAAATGGAACTGAAGCTGAGGTGTATAGAGGTGGGGTTAGCATACCTGAATGCTCAGGTGATTGCACGGTTGCCATTGAGAATAGAGGAAGCTTTGGTGTGGAACTGGTATCAGGTTCCATGGCAACCTGTTAGGACGTCCAGGGCTTAAAGGTGTGGGTTGAGACTTGTGGATATGATGGAGGAACGGAGAGGTTGATGGTCTTGCAAAAGAAATATGCAAATGGCTTTAGAACTTGGGAGGAGGAGAGAGTACTCTGGAGTTAAAAACAGCAGAAAGAAAAAAGTATGACAAGTCTTTTTTTTTGACTGTGGAACGCATGGAAAAGAGAACAGCTTGCTCTTTAGATTTTAGATCAGATGTGATTTCTAGTGCATCCTACTGTTTTCACTTTTTAGGCTTGGAAGAGTGCCAGCCCAGGGTCTTGTACAAAGAAAACATGGCATGCAGCTGCCGTATCCTCTTGGCTATATATGCTTCCTTGCGGAGGACCTTTCACCATTAGTAGTGGGGTACCTATTTCTTTTTGTTTCTTCGAGTAATTGGTGGAATAGCTCGCTCTTTCATGACTTTTCATTCCTCATCTGTAAGCCTAGGCTATATCACTAATCACTCCATGTCGTGTATTTATTGTTTGTCAATAGAGTCACCTTTCAACTATATGGATTTTGGCATACATGATGGATTTTGTTTCCTAAACTTCCAATTCCAACAGTTGAGCTTAAACTATTGCTTTTTTTTTAAAAAAAAAAAAAGAAAACTATTGCTTTGCCTATAATTCTAATTACTAGAAGGAAGGGAAAAAGATGCTTCGCTAAAGGACAATTTGTTACTTAAGTGGTTCAACAAAATCTCTAAAATCTTATGCTTATTTGGAAAAAAATATCACTTCCACCCTGTAAGCAACTAGAGATGATAATGAATAGAATAGGGTAAAACTTGATACTCATAAACAGTCATTCTGATGATTAATCCTATTAGGGTTTGAAAAGAGGTTCTTAGATGTAAAATCATTTATTTTTTAAAAAAATTTATTTAGTAGAAATTCGCTTTTGTAATCCATGGGATACTGCAAGCAAAACATCAATTTACTCCCTAAACTTCATTATGGGTCAGTTTTAGTCCCTCAATTATTTTAACAAAATCGAAGTATGAGCCAATTTAATCCCTCAACTATTTTACTTAAGTCCAAACAGTCCATCATGTATATTTGCATAACTAGTTTAGTCCTTCTTATTTGGGTGATCAATTTAATTTATCACCTTTCACTTTCAGCGTCGACAATCTAACCGGAACTCTTATTAAAACAATAGAAAAGCATACATTTGTCGAGAAATCGGCAAAGAAATTAGATTATATGGAAAGTGAGTTTGTTTTAGCTTTAATTCCCAAAAGGGTGATCATAATATTAGCCCATTTTTTTTCAGTTTTTCGCATACTCCTATTGCGTTATTTTCCTTTTCTCCATTTAATAGACTGAGCTTGATCTATGTGAAATTTTTTTTAGGGCACCAGCTCGGTTTTTTTTGCTCTTCATAAGAAGATCTATTTTTGTTGCTTTCTATATGATTCAATTTCCGGTAAATATTCATTTTCTATTTTTAATAAGGGCAGTGTCCAGAATTCCTATTTTTAATCGACTGGCTCGTAAGAAAGTTTAGGGACTATTTTGAGAATTAGTAAAATAGTTTAGGGACTAAATCAGCAGTGGTGTTTTAGTCGGACACAGCAGTGCATTGGATTCTAGAGGCATTTGCATATTCAATAGTTTAATGCTCCAGGTTGTGGGTTAATCAAATTTTTTGTCCAGTACTAATAATAATAATATAACGCTCGATTCAACTGTCTCACAATTTTTTTTAGCATATTAGTACTAATAATATGCATCCGTTTTTGCATGTTGAAGATAATTCAACACATAACCCGTTTGACTCAAATACTGCTAGTATTCCTTCAAAAAAAAATAAAAAATACTGCTAGTATTTATTTGTCTGGAATGAGAATGAATAGTTAATCAGTAGTTAGCTCATAATTGTGTACCAAATCTCATTCCTAGTAAAAAACTCACACCTTGCTTTGGGTTGTGGTTGTATTGAACCAGATACTACTGTCCTACTCCTGCCTCTAATTCTCTATATATAATATGAGTCAGCCCTGCCTGCTGCTATGGTTGATTGTCCAAGATGAGTACGAAGTCAAAAGAAAACAAATTAGTAGTAGGACTAAAACTTAGTTGTCATACATGGCTCCTCAACCATCACTTTGACACTTCCACGCAAATTTCACGTCATAGGTTATATAAATGTTATCATTATCGAAAAAAAAGAGTATAAAATCAAAAGAAAATAAATTAATAGTAGGATTGAGGTTTTCTTTTTACATGAAAATTTGTTGTCATACATGGCTCCTCAACCATCACTTCAACGCAAATTTCACGGAAAAGATGGGATTATATAAATATTATCATTGTCAAAAAAAATATAAAATCAAAAAAGAAAAACAAATTAATAGTAGGACTACCGCTTTGTTGTCAAACCATCACTTCAACACAAATTTCGTCTGTGTCTGTTCTAGCAAAGAGTTTTGATGAGCGTATACCATTGTCCAACAATTAATAATATTAGTTGCATTTGGTTTCTAAGTTGAAAGAATCATTTAGCCATTTGATTATTGCTGTACTTTGAATTTCCTGTTAAATGTTTTTTTGGCCCCCTGAGCCACATATGCCCATCTTCAGTCTTTTAAATTAAAGGAACATTAAAGAGCCACAGCAGCAAAGTAAACAGAAAAAAGCAAACATGTGTGTGCGTGTTTGTGTGTGATTTTTTTAACTATTTTCTTGCCGGGCCGTTCCATCTTTATTTGAATCATGGGACTAAAAATTTGTACTGGTAATCTTATACACTAGCATTAAAAACCCTTTTATGTTGTGTAGCTGTGCCTGTGAATAGAGTGCTGTAACTTGTAAATGGTGGCCAAATAGTATGTCCGTAGCAAGAGTCATTCTAGGTTCTAAGTTACTTCTCCTCTCCCGTGTTTGACATTGCTCGAGAGTCATCTAGAATCGCCTAGTTGTATCAGTTTGGAACACGACCACCACGATTTGATCTCAGAATTGCTTTTGGCTTTTGGCTTTTGGCATTGCAAAAAAGAAGAAGATGTGCAGCAAAATTATTGTCAAATAGTTAAGCAGAAAAAGTGATTTATTGGAAGATCGTTAGATGTGCTATAAATTGATCAAAATATGGAAGAATTTAGACAGCTGAACTACCTTCAATACTGGTGGGGATGGATCTTTTAGTGTGAGCAGGGGGAGTACTCATTTATCTTGGTGCAAATTCCTGCCAGTCGGATAAGATAATGAGGTGGTTAAGTTGATTTTGATATGGACTTTGTCCGCATCTTCTGCTAGTGGAAAATTGCCATATGCACAAAGTTAGCTAACAATCATTGTCAGCTTTGATTTTGGAACGCAGAAGACCAAGAGGAAAAGCACCAGAAAAAAGTAACTAATATTTTAGAAAGGTCAGAGCATGTACACACACTACGTGGTTTCATGCATTTACGGATGGCTTCCAAGCAAATGTACTCACTGACATGACATGGGCCGAGGCCAGCCAGAGATGGCACACCCCTTTCGTTCGTTGTGGTATTTGCTTTGATTACTTTTATGATGCTATTCATATTGTTTTTCCAATTGTCGGCAACCACCGTGATCCTCCTCTGTATTGTGAAGAATACTCTACCAGTATAACGGCCCCTACGGCTCATGAGAAATTCTTCTATGTTTGCCCGTTACATGAGCTGACAAAATCTCCATTGGGCCACGTCCTAAGAAGTCCTCCACCTGTCCTACATGTATTTACAGGATGGGAAAAGCCACAGGGAATGACATGATGATCATACTTGCCAAATGCCGACCCCAACAAGACAAAAGTTAAATTCCTAGAGACTATGATTACCATCCATACAGAAACATAGGGATTCCCCCCTCCCTCTTTAACAGGGATTTTACTGCTTTAGCTTTGTGGAGCAGACATGATGTCAACCTAAAAGCAGAAGCACAATATATATATATATATATATATATATGGTCCCGTTACTATCCTACTAGCTTCTCCTCAATGGGATATGCACGGTAACATCAGCAACCCAAAAAAATCATCATTCATGTGGAGGATAGAGACTGGATGCTTATAGCATTACAACCAAGAGAAATGATAGAACTCAACCTCTTGCAACAATCAAAATTCACCTATGCATACTCCGTTCAGGAACAAGCAGCACTGTGACTGGCAAATCAATGTCTCTGCATAAACCATCTCTCCATTTCTCAGCGTTCTCTACAGTGATGAAGTTGAGAGATTATGAAGAAGCATTGTGCGGATATATCTCCTGCAGAGTATGAGGGAGGTTCAAAACAATCTCTGCGTAAGCTGAAGGGAGCAAAGGAAAGCATGTCAGCGTGTTAGCATGCATGTTAATCCTCCAGAAACGCAGTTTAACACACAACTATATATAAGTCTGCTTCAACGGGACCCCAACTTAGATCCCTTCACCACAACCAAAGGATTTCAATTAAAGCACTTGATTAACAGAGAAACCAAGAACGTGTCAGAAACGAAACCACGTTTCCAGTCGGCAACAAATCCCGTGAATCAAGAATAGCAATTTTTGGTGCAAATTAAGTATACAAACAGCTACATATCTAATACTTCTAAAGCATGCCAAGTTTATTCTTCAAAATAATACAGCAGAACCAGTGGCAATTCCAGAACTTCTACGAGAGCGCGGAATAACAATTCTACAATCATACAGGAATTCTAGATCAGTTTTCCAACTGGAATCTGTCGTTAAAAAGTATATGTCGACGAAATCTACAGAGGACTGCTCATGGCGCTCAGGATACATAAGAAAAACAGTAACTGTAGATTTTCAACCTGATTAACACTAGAGTATGCAGCTGGCTAACAAGTGAGATGGGAGATATTTAACTGGGAATCCAAATTATGGGCTCAATTCATGTAAGCTAATTATCACTGTGCGCCACTGAGCAGGAATAACATGGACTAAGCATACATTGAAACTGGTTATATTTCAATTTCTTCTAAAGCATATCTAATACTTCTAAAGCATGCCAAGTTTATTCTTCAAAATAATACAGCAGAACCAGTGGCAATTCCAGAACTTCTACGAGAGCGCGGAATAACAATTCTACAATCATACAGGAATTCTAGATCAGTTTTCCAACTGGAATCTGTCGTTAAAAAGTATATGTCGACGAAATCTACAGAGGACTGCTCATGGCGCTCAGGATACATAAGAAAAACAGTAACTGTAGATTTTCAACCTGATTAACACTAGAGTATGCAGCTGGCTAACAAGTGAGATGGGAGATATTTAACTGGGAATCCAAATTATGGGCTCAATTCATGTAAGCTAATTATCACTGTGCGCCACTGAGCAGGAATAACATGGACTAAGCATACATTGAAACTGGTTATATTTCAATTTCTGTGATACATTTTATTGTTCAGGTTAGGACACTATAAATGGTTTTGGTTCGCAAAGCATTTTAATTTTCAATTATATGTGCAAAAGTAGATGTATCCCTTTTTCCAGGCTGTGCATCTTGAACATACTTTTCACATCCAAAATAGCAATTTCATGTCTTTCTTTCCACCATTCAAGCTTTGTGGAAAAAAAAAAAAAAAAAACCATATAAACCATTAAAAGAAGAATTAAGCATAGGACAATTGTTTGATGATGATCAATGACAGGTGAGAACCGAAAACCAAAGATTTTACAACAATGATACCCATGCAATGTTGAAGAAGGAAAGTTCCTTCTCTGAATAAAATCGAAAGAAAAGCCTCTCAATGCATCACTAATGCAAATTATACAATATGGCTAAATCTCTATTGACTTAATACCTTCAGGTAAACTCATGGTTCGTAAAGCATCCTCTGCATAAGACAGCCTTTCTGGAATGGTTTTACTCCCTAATGGTCCGCCTCCCTTCTTGTTCATGAAATTCCTGTGCATTGGCCATGCCAGGACACTGACTCCAGTTGGAAGTATAGAGACAAGATCTGCATATCTAAGACTTACCGTCACCTTACTGCAGAAAAAGACCACGTTTTTGCAGTTATTTATGCATTCAACAAATTATCTGTTTAAACTACTAATAAACAATTATTTTGCCATTACACCTATGACCAGCCTTTTTTTTTTAATCATCATTACAAAACAAAACCAAAATCATAGGCAGAAAGCTGAATCCACCTACCAATCATAATCGTCAAGCAAAAATTCAACCATGTGGTACGGAAGACTATGGTAAAGTTCTTTGATTTGATTTCCGTATAATTCCTTGATAAGGCGAACCTGAAAACCACAAGAAAAGGGAGCTGGAAATAGACCAAACTGATTTCAAAAATGTATCACAAGAAATGGGAAGATAATAACATGTTAAATTCAGGAAATTTCCATTTAATATCACTGAAATACGTGGCAGCATTCCAACCATCCAAACAGACAATAGGTGGTAAATATCAAGTAATCAGACTTCTATAGAACTGTCATTGTTGCACAACCATGCGCCTAAATATTATCTCTCCATCATGAAAAGGACTTTCGTACAAATCTAACTTTTAAAGGTTAAGAATTTCACATGCTCAAAATTTGCAGGAGAATAATAAATTTGCAAGATTGTCCTTTGACTTTCGAAATATGTTCTGGTGCCCAGTTCAATACTAATAGGAAAAGTGGGATTAAAATAATCTTGAATCTAATTAAGTAAATTTGGAACAAGCATAGACAGAGATGGGGTTCTTTTTCAGGGACAGGTAATGAAACAAATATAGCTACTTGAGCATGTCTTATGTAGGCTTCACAGAGCCATGGTATGTCTGAACCAAATAGCAACTTAAACTACGTACATGCTTGATCCAAGTATGAGTCAGAAACTCCAATTTAGAGAGAATTCTGCAAAATTCTTGTAGCATTATCCAATATCTGTGACTATCTAAACATCAAGACCAACATTCCACAAACTTTCTTCTGTTACGCATCATACCTGTTCACGCCTATCAACATAGGCCTGCAATAGATCTCCTACATGATCTATGAATTTCTGGAGGTAAAATGCAGAAAGCTACATTAAAACAAAATCAGACAGGAAATATTAATGTGAAAAATCAAAAGCTATAAATATCACCATCGCATTTGAAGAGAGAAACTCATTTTCAGCTTCACGTATTGGTAGGAAAAAAGGTACTGTATGCTCAAGGACAGTCATCTTTTCAAGAAATGACTTGCTTTCAAGCACACAGTGGAACAATTCACAGGGTTCTCCTGCAATATTGCAAAACCAGATGCATTGCTTTTTACTTAATTGCTATTTGGAGAACTACGTGATATATTGACAACCTAGTTTAAAATCAAAGAGAATGAAAAGCAAAGCTAAAAGTTCCAATATACAACATACAAAATGGCACCAAATCTAAAACGGCAATGTATAAGAGATCCTTCACAACAATAAAAAACCACATCACCCTAGTCAGAGACATCCATTCTGCTTCAAGATACAAATAGACACCTTAAAGACTACGGAAAATTTTCTAAAGCTACAATAAATCATAGCTGCAATTGTTTTTTCCAGTGCTCAATTCGTTATCTCTTTGTTATTCAATCAACCTAAATGCACTTTATGTGGCTTCCATTTTCCCCAAAAATGATTTCATCTGCAGACAAGAAACTACACATAGATGGCAACAAATATCAACATAGTCAAGTACGATCATTTCCTCAACAATGTATCGCAACACAAGACAAAACAGCTACATATATAATCATGGAACAGAATACATGTTTCTGACACCAATGTTCAGTGATGAATTTCCAAATTTACCTGCAAATGTTGTCTCATACTGTATGCCGATCCTTGCTCCTTCCAAACAACAGATAATCTGCTCAATAAACAAAATATGGCACAATTCTGTAAAACTATGAGAAATTATAGATTTGAACAATTTGCATCAATGGCTCATTAGTCTTTTAAGTAAAAAGCCCAAATATTGTTCGCTCTTGAATGCTTAATTTTACAAAAAGGTTTTGGGGATCAGAATATGTATGAATACAAAGATATTCTTACACATCTACTTGAACAAGAAAACTATGTGAGAGGCAAATGTATACAGGGAATAGAGTCCTAATCCAGTGCACAAAGTGCGACAAAGTTCTACAAAGGGATCGCAGATAAATACCTGCAAAACTACAACTGAAAAAGATAGATAACTTTACAATACTTCTTCTTTCTAGTGCTGTTATGTAGGTCATAAGCAACAACGCGCCCAAGTTATATTTCAATACTCTTAAACATCTAAATTGAAATTATTTAAGTAAATTACCAGCTTGAGTATACATATTCACTGGCCAGAATATACCTTGTTTGCAACTTTGTAAGTGATTTTATCATGAAAAGGAAGACCATGCAACATGCTTGTATCCCCTGGCAATTGCATTGCCTTTCTTTCAGCCTCCATATGAACCTGATGCAATTTAGGACCTCTTCACGTGAGTATCAATCAATATAACATGCAGTATGAAAGCTGAAAACAAGATGACAGGGTATCTACCCCAAACAGGAAAAGCAAGTTATACAGCAGATTATTAGCTAGAACCAGCAAAATTTGCCACTTTACTACATTTAGCACTAGTCATGTTAAGCAGACATCCTTTCAACTACTAGGCAGTGAGTCTGTTTGCAAGCAGAAGAATTCTACTAGAAGTACTTGAAAGAGCTTTGATTTCAGGAATAGCACTTTATTAATGTTGAAAATTAAATATACCAAAAAAAAAGCACTAAACCATGAAATTCTCAATTTATATCTATCTCCTTCTTTAACTAAAAGATAAAAGCACTAGCTGATGGCTTCATAATAGAAGAATATTAAGCACAGGGTTGTAAAGAAAAGATATAATATTTCAAACAGAACAGTTATATCACCACTGCCCAAGAAAAGCCCAAGGTTACAAGTCATGTGGAATTTGAAACAGCATACCCGCTCCCTTATTGTAGCCAATAATCCATCATTCCACTGCTCACCATCTAAAGAAATTTCTGCATAGTAAAAAGCTTCTTGAAAAAGGAATGTATAATATAGAACTTACAAGAAAAATATCCATCCTCATAAAAGTTTTGAAGCTGGTGGAGGGACAAATTGAAGAACAGAGGCTATACAGAAAAGGAGGAAAAGGATGGACACATTTTCCAAAAAAGTATTTTATGCACAACCAAACAGAGCCTCAATCGTCAAAATATGGAACATGTGATAACCTAACAGTTAATGCGATTTACTGAGAAGAGGAGAAAAGTCAAGATAGATACTATCAACAATCCCAAATTTGTCATGTAACAGATAATGACACTAGTAAAGCAAGTGCAAATCTTATAATTATTAGATATAAATGTAGAAGTTAAAAGCACTATTAGCAGTTTCTTTGAAGTACCAAAAAAAATATCACCAACTTCAGCTATATCAAGGGTTACATGCAAACATACCTTGAGTTTGAGAAGCAATAGCAGCTTCAAATTCTCTCTGCAAACGCTCAAATATCATCTTATCAGAGTCCCTGATATAACAGAAGGGTTGACAATTTTACTTTCCAATATAGCAATTTACAAGTAGCTTGGGCTACGTGTAGACTTTGATTCTAGCCAGGGACTGCAAACAGTAATCAGACAAGAAAACAACTACTGCATGTGTAACTAATTCTGCCCTAAAAAATTTTAACAGTCGATAAGTTCTAGCCAGGGACTGCAGTAACCATAATATTCCCTCGTATCTCAGCCCACTTCAATGTCACCTCTAAGAAACTTTTCCAGAACAATTATAACAAATGTTATTAAAGCACGTCTATCTTTCAGAAGTATGATAGTAACATTTAAAACCTACTAGCAACATGACACTGTATGCATGTGCAAACGTTTGAAAGCCACTTCCCATTTAACCTTTGACTTTTTTTTTCCGAGCGCATTGTATGGTTTGGCGATTGCTTTTTCCAATGGCTTCATATTTCCATTCTTAAGCTTTGTTTATCAGATTTTATTCCTTCATGTAACTTAAAGACCAAATGTGATGTATTGCATGGAAACGATATCAAGATGCAGAGAAAAACTTAAAATGAAATAAATTCCTTGATCAAATTCTGATACTTCCATATTTTCCATCATTTTACTCACTTCAGATACTGTTAGCATCCAAGTGCTCTTGGGTTTGTAAACCAAAAATTTCAATTCAAACTGAAGCTTTTGATAGTGATATCAGAGCCATTGACGCTGGTAATCATATTCTCAAATCAAGTTTGACTTTAAGGGAATGATGTTAATGTCTTGGACAGAATTACTCCTAGTGAAAACTCCCCAAGCTATGTTTTGCGTGAGACAGTCATCATAACATGAGGAGTAAGAATCATCGTACCACTCAAAACATTGACCCCCCAAGATAACACGTTGGAACCGCAAGTACAAACAGCTGCTGGACTAGTCCAGAATTAATCAGAATCTAGGAGAAAGCTGCCCTTTCTGTATGCGGTAAAATGCAAACAATTTCAAGGAAAGGACCTCAATTCAGAGCAGCAGGCTATTTGCTTCCAGGTCATTAAGCACAAGGCTTATGAGGCTGGGCATTTTAAGTTGTGTCTACAACCTTTAATCATCATTCTCTATTAGATTTAAGTCAACTAACGTAGTATACGTGCAGAATTGCATATGGACAGCTGAAATATATATATATATATATCAAAAGGCAAAGAATTCTAGCAATATCCTATCTACCAAAATTTTTTAAGCCTAAGTTTCTAGGACTGAAGATGTCTACCTTGCATGGAGATTTTTATACATCAAGATATGTTAATTAGCACATAATGTTTTTCTTAATTATGATATAAGTATATAAATTTATCCCAACCTTCCAGTAGTAGAACGACCAGTAAACAACACCTATAATACTGCTTCTCTCTTCAAATATAAAGCACATTTAGTAAGATAGGAGAAAATTCTATCTTCTGATTCCCAGCTTGAAGCTAATTATTTTTCTTATGAATAAGGATGAATTCAAACAAAAAGCTCAAAAAGAGACGTACAGTTACAACTTGGAAAAAAATACTGAATAGTAAAAAAAAATGATAAACTCCAAAAACATTACCTAGACAGGCGTTCTGCTAATTCTCCATGCCTTTTAAGCACATTTGAGACTCCAAGAAGAAAAATGCATTCCAATTTCAGAACTATGTCAAACAAACTACTACTAAGACAGTAAGACGCAAAAGAAAAAAAAATAAAGAAAGAAAATTCAATGTAAAACATTTACATCTAGCCCGAGTCATCTCCAAGTGATTATCCTCGTCTTGTAGAAAATTCTACAATACAGACAAATAAAAAGGAAATTAAGAAAACAATAAATTATCTGAGTTAAAAGACTGGCAAGGTGTAACAGTAAAAAAAAAAAAAATGAATAAGCAGGCTGGATGTAGGTGGAGCTAAATGGTTGAAAGGAAAAATTGGTCCATATATAGTTAAGAATCAACATGTAAGTTTTCATGAACAGTTTACTTTTTCTATGCTCATCTCCACACCCTCTTCCCAGAAACCCACCCATGCACCATCCCCAAAACAAGTCTGTAGTTCGCAGAACACACCCACCCTCCCCAGCTCCAGAACAAGGAAAAAGATTCTTGCCTTCATTTAGCCATCTAACTAGACTGTCAGTTACCCCCTAGTTGAGGACCTCAAGACATATAAGACTGTCTAAGTTTGAGCATGACCCACATATGATTGGATTTCCTTTTCTTCATAGGTTTCTCCTTCCCTTTCCTGTACCCTCCAACCTCCTGCCCAACTGCAACATGCAATCCTTTCTTATGTGCTAAAAAAGACTAAGATGGGATTTTCAACTCTGTTGTAATAAATGGGAGTGTTTGGATAGCACTATTATCTCAAATAATATTTCGCTTGCATCATAAACACATTTTTCAACCCACCTTTTTATATTCCCAACCACCTTTTTATCTCACATACATCACATCACAAAAAGTGCTACAGTAATTATTCCAAATAATATTTCAAATAATGCCCTATCCTTATTAAACTATTTTAGTTTCATAGCATTACAGATTTCTAGTCACTACATATGAAGATGAGGAAAAAGCAACAGTACTTCTCTGCCAAATAAAACAGTTAACAACCATGGTACTCTACAAATTAGAAGGTAAAAAAAAAAAAGAACTTTTCCTTACATTCTTTCTCATTTTTCAAGTTTACTCCAGGCAATCTCAGGCGTGATTTCAACGCACTTTGCTCATTCCTATCAGGGACAACCCACCACAGGGAAATTTTTCTTATCCTGCAAACCACTAATAGAGAAGATGTTAAGCTAGGCTGCTTTATACTGCTAATGAATCACCATTTTGCTCCATTATGCTTATTGCGTAAGTGAGAGGGGCTGAGAAATGGTATCCTTGTGGTTATCACAGCCAGTGCTTATTTTCTCTTCCATTTTATTAGCTCTTATAAACTATCAATACATGATAAATTCTGTGAATTCATAAAACAAGCAAATAAAGTAGCTAATCCAAGTAGATTAAGAAATAAACAATGATGGATCTTTTGGTGAACAACGAAGAAGAGAGTGTCATTCTACATGCAATTCAAGTAGACAAAACCACCACACTATCTTTCTCAAACAATAAACTTCAATCATTGACGCTGACATCAGAGATTCTCACACTAAACACCCATTCCATTGGCTGCTTAACCCGTGGTGAACATTCACAAAATTCAGAATCTATTTTGTTTAAAAAGGAAGGAAAAAAGCAAAAAAAAGGATGGGTTTTTGCTTAACTAACACAGAACTCAATCAGATGAAAATTCAAGAACTCGCCAGCTATCTCCAATTTAAAGGGCAGCTGCCTAACTCAATCCAAATGCTTGGCAACATGATCTTGTTGCTAGGATATACACTCAGTTAATTCAGCATTACAAATTCCGCAAACAGAATAAAGAATAATATACGAATCTTTTTTATCTTTCTAATTCCCTCCCCACCCCCACCCCCCCAAAAAAAAAAAAAAAACAAATAGAAAAGGTAAAAGAAATTTAAATGTAAAATCTAGAAGCACTTTCAATTAAGATACCACAGGAACCCTGATAAAGAAAGCTGAAATACAGGCGGCATTTGGTTGGAAATTCTTAAAATTCTTGAAATCAAAACAAAGTTCCAATCTTTTTCAGTTTTTAACTAGATGGCTTGCAAGAAGAGAACAACTAAAAAGCTGCTTCAATTATTACATCTCCCAAATTCACCCAAATTAGTAAGTTTGAAGAAAATAAGTAGAGCTGAAGAAAAAAATAGACAAATAAGTAGAGCTGTACATAAACATAAAGGCTTAAACTATTTCGCCCCCGCCAATAAGAAAACCTTGCAAGGTATAAATTGCTAAAAATATGTGAAGAAATTAACAAACTTACAGGGACTGAAAAATCTCCCTAGCTTATGGCTGAACTACTATCACAATCTGTCCAACCTTTAGTCGCGTCTGGGCCGACTTGTAGAGTTAATAAGAAGCTTCTCTCTTTCTTTCTCTTAAACGAGAGACGAGGAAGTTTTTATTTTCATCTTTTCTTGCTTTTTTAAATACCCAAAAAGGGAGAAGGGGTGGAGAATAGAAAGATAAATAAGATGATGGAAAACCAACCTTAGTCTTGTTTGGATCAAGGTTTGTAAAATCGGGATCCTACGTAGGATCGATTTTAGTTTTACAGAATCGGATCGTAGGATTGTAAGATCCCACCAAAAGCTTTTAAATTTACTAAATTAATGAATTTCAGATTCATATACCATTTTGTACATTCTAAAAGATATCAAATAAATAAGTTATTCATAAATATATAGCATTTTTTACTTACTGCCTGATAAATAATAAATATATAGCATTTTTCTTTTCACAATTATAGCCATTGCAAAGTAATACTATGAGAAAAGTCAGGCTAAATGTTGATTTGTGCTGAAAATTTAGAAAAAATTAGATTTTTCAAACTTGTTAACAAAAAGTTCAAAAGCATACGTCCACGGCAACCCATTTTTCTGGTCTAAATAAGAATATCTGGGCAATTAATGCACCTTTCTAGCTTAAGAACAAAAATAAAGGCCAGAAAATCATAAGTTCGGGTGACACCCAATACTTTTCAGCTGAAGGAATGTGCTTAGCTATTGCAATCAATAGTAAGCAAACATAATCTATGTGAGCTGAAGCACTTTGTGTTTTAATTGCAACTTTCACTTGATGACATTTAGACAAATCAACGTTATAAAGAGGTAGGCAAATCAAAATCATGTTGTTGAAACTGAAAAGATCCAATCGGACAATTGAAAAGATCCAAAAACAAAAACAAAAAAAAGAAGAACAAAGAAAACAGTGTCAAATTAGGACATTCAAAGCCAGAATAGTAAGTCCAAACCTGTGTAGAATCTGAATCAAAATTTTCCCGTTGTTCAGATGTTGGTACTTGGTATTTGGTAGAACCCACAGCGATATCGTCTTGTTGGTTGGAGCTGCAGCGGTGGAGAATAAGTGAAAACTGAAAAATGAAGGTTGAAATGAAAAATGAAGAAACGAGTCAACACAGATAACTGAGTAGAGGAGAAGAATAAGAGCTTTTTTGACTTTTTGAGGCAAAAATTGTTAAAAAATTACAATTAAAAGCTGCAATTCTTTGATAAATCACAAACCTACCACAAATGTTTTCATTTACTTGCAAAATGGAGTCTCGTATTTCACAAATTTGCAAAAAATTGTAGGATCGTACGATCCTACACGATCCTACCGATCCTATTACGATCCTACGCGATTCTATGTAGATTAATACAATTTGCGACTCTGAATACGATTCGGATTGATTTTGGTTATCCGAATCGTAGGATCGTACAATCCTACGATCCGGATCGCGATTTTGACAACACTGGTTTGGATTGCAATTTTTTGAAATTTTTATAGGAAATGTATCGTAGTATTTTAATATATATAGAATATTAAGATAATTAAAAAATATAATCATAAAAAATATAGAAATTTTTTTAATGAAATATCCCTCACCAAACTAGTGGCAGTGGAAAAAAACCAAAAGGGAACAAACATCTCCAGCCTTTGACCTTGAAAACATAGGGCAATATAGTCCGCATGGGCAAAGAGTCATTTTATTTGGTTTTACTTTTTTTTAAGGAATTTTTTACAAAAAAAAAAACGTAAATTTTTGCTGCATTTTTCAGCTTAGGAAATAGGAATAGTGCAGTAGATGCATGGCCTTCAGTAATTTTTGAGTAATTGGAAATTGTCCAACCCCAAATTTTGAAAGAAAGAGTGTAGTATAGACAACAAATCTTTACCTGAATTGCACCACACACGTATTACTAGAAGGAAGAATGAAATATTTGATGGCGGAATGTTTGGATTGCATTTTTCATGATTTTTCATGAAAAAATTACTGTAACGATTTGATGTATGTGAGGGAAAAAGGTAATAGGAAAATGTGATCACGGAAAACGACGTAATTTTCCGACGAAAAACGGCAATCCAAACATTAACCAAATAGAGTAGGACTTAACCAATCTAGGCTATAAACCAAATAGAGTAGGACTTAACCTTTTCTTTCTTGCTCAAAACTCAAAAAGATACCTTTTATTTTTTTTTTAACAAAAAAAGTACCTTTTAGTTTGTCCCCCTCAAACTATATGCCAAATTTCACTTTAATTCTTAAACTTCAAAATGAAACACTTAAATCCTTAAACTACAAAATCCATCATACTTTACTGTAGTTTTTGACAGAATGCATAAAACATAACAAAATAGTTGTTTTAGTTCTTATTATAATTAAAGTTAGCCAACCCTAATAGGGACATAAATGTAATTTTATGCGATTCAAATAAAAAATTTTACACCTAACAAAAAACCCATTTTTGGTTAATTTTTTCCTTTTTTTAATTTTCCTTTCCCTTTTTATCCCTTTATAGTAAATTTTTTTCCTTTTTTTTATTTATTCTTATGATTATTCTTTCCTTTTTTATTTTCAATGTCTTCTCGTTCTATCTTGCTTTGTTTTTAGCAGAGTTTTTTAATAATAAAAAAGCAACCCGTATCAATACCTTCAAGTTATAAAAGTAAAAAAATCACTGATTTCGCCAGAAAAAAAACCACTGATTTCGCTCGGGTAACTCAAACTCATATGTAAATGTTGCATAACGACTAATTTCACCAGCAGGAAATTGGTTCGACACAAGAAGCTGATATGCATATTCTGTACTGATGATAATTCAAGCCCACGAAGATTACTCTTTTGCGAAATATCTTCTTTGATCCACTTCTTTAAATAACACAAAAGTATACCAAAAAACTACCAATTGGTTGATCCTAATTATTTTCTAAGAGAATAAGCTTGAGAAACACCTAATCAAACAAAGTTGAATCCCATGTCTTCATCACTCTCTTCCTTGGCCGCCTCCTTCTTCTTCTCAGCGGCGGCAGGGGTAGCACCATCACCGCCGACAGGAGCGGCAGCGCCACCGCCACAGCCAACATTGACGATAAGATCTTCGATGTTCCTCTTCTTGCAAAGCTTGGCAAAGAGACTAGGCCAGTAGGATTCCACGATCAAATTCGCAGCCTTCACCAATGTAGCAATCTTCTCTGCAGTGACAGGGATGCCATCGTCGTAAAGAATCCAAGAAGTGTAGATGCAGGCGAGCTCTCTGACCAACATCTTTATCCTTGATGATAAAATTGATCACCTGAGAAAGTGCAGACGGGGTCGGGGATTAGGCAGGCCTTAAAGTTTGGGACGGTATCCTCCGACGTTGCCTCTCCCATTTCTTTGAACACTAGATAGCAGTAGGGTCTGTATGGTTCGGGTACGGTCCCGTCTATCATTGTACTGATCCAACCCGCACCTTGCGAGTAAACTATTTTTTGTCTCTTATCCACCTCACATATTAGCAGGTACCCCGTTATAGGATACCCGTTAAAATAGGATCGGATCAGCGGATATCCGTCATGTCCTACTTATTATTTAAAAAAATAATTTATACTAATTTAATTTTACATTTTACAGATTCATAAAAAATTTAATAAAGATTTTTTTCTCAAAAAATTCCCCTACTAAGAAACAAACGTGCAAATAGAATACAAAAAAATTTAAAAAGAATTCAATATCAATAAAAGTTTAAAAATAAGTAACACATTTTTTAAAATATATGTTCTACATTAGTTAAATTCTTTTCTATAAAGCATAAGATCATGACCTTTACAAATGAGTTTTATAAATAAACTATAGTCTCTTATATTTGTAATATAATTTGTTCAATGAAATTGCTTATTTAGTTTTAAAAATATTATTTTATAGTATGAGTATAAAAATAAATATATATATATGTGGGGCGGGAATTTATAGTGCTCGTGGGTTTTTAATTGTGTGACCCTAACTTGCCCCATATTTTAACGGGTACCCAACCCTCTATTGACCCGATCAAATAATACAGATCGGGTGTACTAATTTTTGAATCGGATCGAATCGAATATGTCGAATTTTCAAGTTTGCGGATAATTTTGCTCACCCCTCAATAATAGTGATATCTTCACCATCCCCTCCTTTTGCGAAAATGAAAACCCATGAATATTGCCTTCTCCACCACCATCCCTACCACCCTCCTCTAATCCCTGCCACCCTCTCTCCCTCCTCCCCCTCTTTCTTGGAAGGAAGGAAGAGAGTGAGTGGGAGTGAGAAGGTAGGAGAAGAGAGAGGAATGGAGGGAGGGAGGAAGGGTGGCGGGGGAAGAGGAGAGAGGCAGTGGTGAGAATGGTGAAGAGTTTGCAGCAAAAGAAAACGGCTTGGAAAGAGAAGGGAAAAGGAAATGGAAAAAATAAAAAGTGTCACAAAAGTTTTGGATTTTATGAAATTATGTTTATGTCCCTGTTGGATTTGGTTAACTTTTAATTATAATAACAACTAACAGAATTGGGAACTATTTCATTAGATTTTGT